CATCGTGGCTGCTCTCAGGCGTTCCCACCTGACTCTGCTGGTCTCAGTTGCTTTTGGCAGCATGTATACATAATTTGAAATTTGTGGAGTTTCTTTGTCTTCTATTTTAAGTGAACATGGAATTTGTGATTTGTTTTTTTGTCCTTTTTCTTTTCATTATCTTGTTGCTGTATTTCCAGGAGAAGTAGAAACATTCAGAATTAAGCTGCCACCATGTTCTTCCAGAATCATAATTGATGTGATTATTTTTGTTGTGGTGGAAATATGAAGCATATTCCCACTTAAGTCAGGTAAATAAAGAGTGGACTTTTCACGTGGAAATATGAGACTCTCTAAAAGATGGATCCCTAGCAAAATATATTCCCCACTGGTGCGTTTTCAAGATGTGATCTGGACATAATTGAGAGAAGGTAGCTCGCTAAACTTGTTAGATAAACAAATCTATGCAGAAAATCTGTCACTCCCCAAGAAATGAAACTGGGTAGAGGAAAAAGAATCAGATTTACATGTTACAAAAATGCTGTTCTTTATTTTAATCGACAGAATTGGATTAGACTCCAGCATCAGCATGCATTTCCCATTGTTTTCTTTTTATATTAACTACAGGAGACTCATTAGAATTTCATGGATGTAATTGTTTCTGGGTTACATCCTCAATTAATGACTATAATTGAAAGATCGGCTAGGACTGGGATGACGTGACTGTAATTTAAGTGTAAAATGTCTGGGCCTCTATTTACAACGCATTTGTTATTTTTTTTCCTACTGTGGAGGAGTATTTATGAGAGGCAGAAATAAATGCATTTCAAACAGCAATGTCTCAATCAAAACAATGTGCATATTGTGTGCTGGGTGTTGTTTTCCTCGGCTGTTTTGTGACTCTGCAGCCCTCAGCAGGATACGTGTGCATAAAACGAGCTTGTGCTCCTCTTCTGGGATGACGTGCGGGAGGAGAAGATGCTTCAACAAAGGGGAGGTGGAAGACAAGGCTATCTCTGTCCTTTTTTATGTTCTGTGTTATAACAACTGTTCAGAACCCAGCGTCTCAGCTCACATTTGCCAAGGATTCCCTAATCAATTTTAGATTATGTCATGGGGAAAGAAAATAGGACCCCCCCATGCCCTAATTATGGTTCTTCTCTGCTTTCCTCTCCTTATTTTCCCCCAAAAGTAGATATTAACCTTATTAGCGTTTTTAAGCAGTGCATCACTGATTATCTCCACACAGGCCTTGAGAGCAGCTGCTAGGGGCAGCTGACCAATTATGTGAGGTTAGCCGGATTTGCTCCAGACTCTGGGAACACAGAAGTCTGTAGACCAGAGCTCTTGGATTGAGGCTTGTCTGCTATTTCTCCCTCCAAGATCAGACGTGGACTGTGTAGTTCTTCTGTGTCTTTTTCAATAATAACGACCTTTCTTTCTCTTGTGGGTCTATTGATCTGGAGGGAATGGTAAAGACAGCCACAGGATGGAAGGCGTGATAGCTGAGCCGGAGAGGCTGAGACCTGTGGCTGAACTAAATCACGATAGAAATAAAAAAGCAAGTAGGGGAATAAACTGGTATAGAAATTTAGGAAACAGAGAGGATGGCAAGGGAGGGACCACTGATTCAGAGGTGACCTAACAACAGTAGTAATAACTTGACAACTATCTACTTCTTCTTATAGCTCTCATGCTGCTACTGCAAGCTGAGGAGTGTTTCCTAATATGTAACCTCTGCTTCAGACACACAAGGGTGCTTGCTAGAATGCAGATTATCAGAAACCACCACAGAAATAAAAATTTCTGGCCACGGTCCAGGAAGTTGCGTTTTTCCAAGATCCTATGAGATTCTGACAGACGTTGGAGTCTGAGAACAACGGAGGAGGAGGCAATGGAAAGTCGAAGGAATGGAATGGTAGTGACAGGCCAGAGAAGGTGGCTGGGAGAGAGCGGACTGAGGTCAGATTCAACAGGCACACATTCAGCGCTTACAGATAGGGAGGCTGTGAACCAGACAGACGAGGTAAGTCTCTTCCTGCACGTTATACACCAAGTGCGTGGCAGAGCCATGGTTTATACTTAGAGCTTCTAAATCCAAGGCTCTTCTCTTTGTACCAACCTGAAGTCAATAGGATAAGAAAGCACTAGAATTTGGATGCCATATTACAAAGAGAAGGCAACATGGCTTGGGATTCAGACCCTGAATTTGTAGTATGTCAAGATAGGGACACCTTTCAGGAAAATAGTGTAGAGGGCAAAGTATATTCTGTTTTCTTTAATCTCCTATTCTAAACTCATCTTTTATTTGCCTCTTTCATGACTTTTTTTTTTTTTAAAGATTGGCACCTGAGCTAACAACTGTTTCCAATATTGGTTTTTTTCTGCTTTTTCTCCTCAAATACCCCAGCATACAGTTGCGTATCTTAGTTGTAGGTCCCTCTAGTTGTGGCATGTGGGACGCCGCCTCAATGTGGCCTGATGAGGAGTGCCATGTCCCTGCCCAGGGTCCGAACCAGTGAAACCCTGGACCACCGAAGCGGAGCACGTGAACTTAACCACTGGGCCACAGGGCCGGCCCCCCATGAATATTTTTGTACACGGTTGCATACTAACCATAAAATTATACACTCAACTTTTTTGTGTTAAATTGATGCATTTTTTAAATTTAGCATGGTTCTAATCCATAATAGCAGAAAATCATCATTTTGATTGTAAATTAAGGAATTCTGACACACATTAGCAAATACTCAACGAATAATTTTTTAAGGAAATCTGTGTATACACTACTCAGAATCATCTTGCCGGCATACTACACATACTGAACTTCGGACATAATGCTTTTATCAGTTTTCTCTTCCACTGAAGATTGATGTCTCTTTCCATTGCCTCGCGGTGCCTCGTGGTCTGGGACCTGTCTGCATGATCTAAAAGCATCATGGTTACTGGATTGGCTCGTTCAGCACTGCTTTCCTCACCGTGTAGCCTGGATCACCCTCTCTCCTCAGTATCTCCACTCGTCCCTCTCTCTATTTTGCTGCCGAGCTTCTCCTCCAGCTCTCGTTTCCAGCCATATTTTACCCATCGAATTTGATCTCTCTGCCTTTAGTGGTCCTAACAAGCTCTCCCTCCTCTTCATCTACTAAATACGGCCATCTTATGAACAGCCTCCAATCACAATGCCCCTTACTGACATGGTGTCGGTAAAATGTTTGATTGACAAATAAATTAACAAATGTTTTCAGACCACTGAGTAATATATTTTAGGTGGCTTTAAAGTGCTCGCATGACAGGCATTAAAAATGAACAAATAGGGGGGCCGGCCCCGTGGCAGAGTGGTTGAGTTTGCGCACTCCGCTGCAGGCGGCCCAGTGTTTCGTCGGTTCGAATCCTGGGCGCGGACATGGCACCATTCATTGAGCCACGCTGGGGCGGCGTCCCACATGCCACAACTAGAAGGACCCACAACTAAGAATATACAACTATGTACCGGGGGGCTTTGGGGAGAAAAAGGAAACAAATAAAATCTTAAAAAAAAAAAAAAAAGAACAAATAGGGCCGGCCTGGTGGCACAGCAGTTAAGTTCACACACTCCACTTTGGTGGCCCAGGGTTCATTGGTTCGGATCCTGGGTGCGGACATGGCACTGCTTGGCAAGCCATGCTGTGGCAGGCGTCCCACATATAAAATAGAGGAAGATGGGCACAGATGTTAGCTCAAGGCCAATCTTCCTCAGCAAAAAAGAGGAGGATTGGTGGCAGATGTTAGCTCAGGGCCAATCTTCCTCAAAAATAAAATTTAATTAATTTTTTAAAATATGATACTGATTACTTCAATGAAGAAAATAGAACAAATTATTAGGGAGAGAGACGAGAAGGTTCTTACTCTCTATGTAGGATGGATAGGGAAGATCTCTTTGAGAGAGTAAGACTTGATTAATGAGAAGGAGCCAACAATGAGACGACCTCATGTCAATGGTATAAGAGTGTACAAGGGAGAGGTGTGCAAAGCCCCTGAGATGAGGATGAGCTAGAAGCCCCAGGGGAACAGGAAACGAGCCCCCAAAGAGGGAAGTTGGAAGAGAAGAGGTTAGAGGGGTAGGCAAGAGGAAGAGCCTATTCGCTCTTACGGACCACAGCAAGGAGTATGAAGTATCTTCCAAGCGCAGTGGAAGCCACTGCAGGGGATTCCGAAGGGAGGACTCTGATCCAGCCACTCACCCAAGTTCTGGGGAGACTGAAGCAGCTGCAGCTCCCTTTCCTTCAAGTGCTCTCATCTGCCTTTGTGTGCGACATCCTCCTGCCTGGGTTCCTCTCCCTCACTCGCCCTCTCCGATTTCCTTGACCATCTTCTTCCTTTTTCACCCTGGACTCCTGCTTTAAAGAAACATGATTTTCTTTTTTTTAATTTCATATTTTTCAAACTTATTGGGCTACAAACTTTTTACATGAAATGTGTATTACCTTCTTCAAGAAAGCTTTCTAGACATTTGAGCTACCCTCGTCCTACTTTCTACAGTTGTGGAAATAGATGTGGTCATTCTCGGTTGATTACCTTTTGTATTAGGGTTCTCTAGAGAAACAGAAACAGGATATGTGTGTGTGTGTGTGTGTGTGTGTGTGTGTGTGTGTTTATTTATTTATTTATTTTAAAGGATTGTCTCAGGCTATGAAGGAGACTCACAAGTCTAAAATCTGCAGGGTGGGCTGGCAGGCTGGAGACCCACGGAGTTGCCAGTGTTGCAGGTCAAGTTCACAGGCCCTCTGCTGTGGAATTCTCTCTTGCTTAGGGGACATCAGTCTTTTCTTCTATTCAGACCTTCCACTGATTGAATGAGGTCCACCCACATCGCCCACATCAGGGAGGACCATCTGCTTTACTCAAAGTCCACTGGTTTAAATGTTAATCTCGTCCAAAACATTCTTACAGGAACATCCAGAATAACATTTGACTACATATCTGGACACTGTGACCCAACCAAGTTGACAGATAAAAAATTAACCAGCACACGTTTCTTATAGGACAAGACAAAGGAAGAAAACCAACTTTCCCGTTTTAAGAAATAGTTCTGCGCTTCATCACAGGTGGGTTTGGATGTATGCACTTTTGGTGCTTCCAGTAAATCAGCAACCGTAGAAGTAACAGTCTTGCGAGAATGGTCATATTTATTAAAGGCTTTCCTGAAATAAATGTTAAAAGTATAATAATCAGACTGAAAGAGTGAAGTGAGGAAGAATAGACCAAGGGTAAGAACACAGACTAGAGGAGGTTAAAAGGAATAAAAAGGAAAGGATTGGTAGGAATTTACTGATGAGATACCCTAGTCAAAGAGAGCAGAGACAGCTAGGAGTAACCTAAGCTTTGTTGATGCCGGATGGAATGATGAATATATATATTTTTTTAGAGAGAAGCTTTAATTGATCAGCACTTCATGCAAATGAATAATGTAAGTGAACCTTATCAACCTGCTGGAAGCTTATAATTATTCAAATTACACAAAGCCATCAAATATGTGGAAATCAAAACAACAGAAAGAGCCACTAACTCCCAGTCTGTCTCCCAGCATTCTGGGGTTTTACCCACATTTGTGATGGGAAGACATTTCAACCTTGAAATTAAACAGAGAACACGGCGTGGTAATTTAGTCACAGGTTCACCGATGAATTGTTTTAAAGGTGATGCAGGCAAATGTACAACATCGAAGTCTGCATGTTTTTAGCGTGCAGTCCAATTCTATTCGCATCCTGCATGATGGATTCAGAACTTCAGATCATTCTACTTAATAGAAAATGTGTTAATTAAGATCAGTTTAATAGTGGTGTTTTTGGAGGATTAAAAGAAAATGTTTAATTTGAGCATCACGTTTCCATTCTGAAAAGCTTCAGTGCTTGGAAAGTGAATATATTGGACGTGAAATATCTCCCAAACAAGTCATCCTTCGCAAACTAGATTTCTGTATTTTCTGAGTTTGAATCCATCTGTCAATCCACAAAGGACCGTTCCCTTTTCTCTCTCCCTGCCTTCCTGTGCCTCTGCATACACCTGTGACATCCATAGCTTAAGACAGTGGCTGCCAACCAGAGTCCTGGAGCATCACTGGGGAGAGAGGCCATGGAGAATGTTGACTCTTTGCGGAATTAAGAGGAAATTCACAGCAGAAGGGTCCATCTGCTACTTTGCATTGAGCTGAGTCCCAGTAATAATGTGGCCACAGGGATTACCTCCCAAGTGTCCCAACAATGTTTCATTTAAAGATGTCACGAAAATGGCCTAATGGTAAATTCTGTCACAAAAAAATTATTAGGCTAAGGGGATCTGATAGTCTGGAAAATTCATTATATGACCTAGGGCAAGGTATCAATCTTTCTATGCCCATATTCTTTCATCTGTAAAATGGACACAACTATCATTTTTTGAGGTTGTATTATGTGCTATGTTCTTTTCACTCTTTACCTCTCTTAATCTCCACAATAACATTATAAAGTAGGCATTAACTATGCACTCACTCATTCCTTTGTAGAAGAGATGACTGATGCTTAGAGATGTCAAGCGTTGCCCAGGGTTGCACAAGCCATGGCGGCAAGATTTGAAATCAAGCCCTCCACACTGCTTGACCTTAATTACAGCACCGATCCCAGTAGGCTAATTAGCACCTACCTCACAGGGTTGTTCTTGGGGAGAATTTATACACTGCACTTAAAAAACATAGCACAAATACCTGGAACCAAATGCTAGCTTGACACCCAGACACAGCAGCAGCAACAGCAAAGTCTTCTTAGGAACCTTTTCATTAATCCCCCTCCAATACTCCCTTCACCTTCCTTCAGGGCTAATGAATTCAGACTCTACCCTCTAACGGGGATCTGCCCATGTAATCGAAACCTTCTCATCATTCCCTAATTATTTCCTGAATGAATGTGCTGTCTCTACAGTTTTAGATGTTTTCTTCTGGGAGAACCAAGGAGCAACAGGTTCTTGCGTAGAAGCTCAGCGTGGACTTTTAGCTTTTCCAGTGGACTTTGAGGGAAAAAACGTCAGAAGTTCAGCTTTCTCACTTCTGAAAAGGGACTAGTGATGCCTGTTCTTCGCCTCTGCCAGCACTGCAATAAAATTCAGATGAAAGCAAGCATATGAAAGGCTGTGTAAACGCCAGTGTGCCATAGAAATGTAAAAACGGTATTAGCAAGGGTTATGACATCTTCTGCTTCCTTTCCCTGCATCCATTTTTATGTGTCTATCAAAATAAAAGGCAATAATTTTTGACTTGCAAATTTTAGACTGAACCGTTGAATGATACAATGAAAGGAGGATGCATTCACGTTTTATTTTTATGTGAATAAATTATGGACAACTATTTTTCCCTTTTCGTTGTGTGTTTTGTTGCCTGTGGCAAATGAACTCATCTTACTCATATTTAGACCAAAGTTTAATTTATTTTTGTCAGTATTTAAACTCTAAAAGCACATGTGAGCTAATTAATTTGTATGAAGTTGGTTGGTTGGTTTCAGAAGGTGTTATGAGTTGGGCTCCCCCCACCCCACTCCACCCAAGAAGACTTTGAGGGGGCCATCCTGGTGGCACAGCGGTTAAGTACACACGTTCCGCTTTGGCGGCCTGGGGTTTGCTGGTTGGATCCCAGTCGTGGACATGGTACAGCTTGTCAAGCCATGCTGTGGTAGGCATCCCACATATAAAGTAGAGGAAGATGGGCATGGATGTTAGCTCAGGGCCAGTCTTCCTCAGCAAAAAGAGGAAGATTGGCAGCAGATGTTAGCTCAGGGCTAATCTTCCTCAAACAAACAAAAAAAGAAGACTTTGAGACAGAGATTTGAATATAAGAAGGCTGTTGGAGAGTGGTCTGGGGTTCAACACCTGGGGGAAGAGAGGGAAGTAGGATTGGGCAGAGGGAAAAGGTGACCTTAATCTGACTCAGGAAAGGTCTGAGCTGATCCCATGGGAAACTCTCAAATGGGATGATTCTTCAGAGCTATCCCCAATGGGGGAGAAGGGCTTGAGTCTTTGTACCCTCACAACAGCCAATCTTGGATGCAGACTGCCTCTGGAACAGGACATGGCTTAGGTGAGCTGGCTCTCCTCAGACAGGAGCAAGTCCCACAGCAGACAGACATCCAGAAGCACTTGCAGCCACTGTGGAATTATGTCCCTCAGTCCTGAAAGGGGCCCTGGGCAGCGTATTACAGTATCTACTATAGATGACAATGTACCTGCTTTCCCAGCTCTTTTTATGAATCTTATCTACAGCCTCCTAATGGACGATCACGTAGACTCAGACAAGTCATTACCTCATAAGTACCTCTGTCTAAATTTAGATAGAAATATCTCTTATTATGTTATATTGAACCTTATATTAAGCTGAAATCTGACTCCAGATTCTTTACTCCCTGAAAAGAGAAGATTCTGATGAAACTGCTGAAGAGCTTAACCTGGCAGTGGAACAAAGTGAGACAAGTACCATACTTGGAACTCATCAATGTTTGTTGGAGGAGTAAATTGTTAAGTGAAATGCAGAATTTATGCAGCTAATGGCTATAGCACCAATCTTTACTCACAGCCACAGTTTTCAGCCCCTGAGTAAGAATAATGACTTATATTTGTTGAATATTCACTACATGCTGGACACTGTTTTAATTGCATTACGTTAACTATTTTAATGTCACAATAACCCCATAGGATGGGCATTATAAACCACATTTATAAATGAGAAAACAGACTCAGAGAGGTTAAAATGTATACCTAAAGTCACATGACTAGTAAATAATGAAGACTGGTGCACTCCCCTATATCTCATAATGGAAACGATAGTAAAGGAAATTGGCACCTCATATGCTAATCCTTACTCATCCTTCTAACCTTTCCTTTTTCTGTTTGCCATATGGCCTAGTGTCCTAGGGCTGCTCTAACAAAGGATCTTAGCTGGGTGGCTTAAAACAACAGAAATTTGTTCTCTCACTCTTCCGGAGGCCAGAAGTCTCAGATGAAAGTGTCAGCAAGGTTGGTTCCTTTTGAAGAGCACTGAGGGAGAATCTGTTCCATGCCTTTCTCTTATCTTCTGGCGTTGCCGGCAATCCTTGGCTTGTAGACACATCATCCCAATTTCTGCTTCCATTGTCACATGGTGTTCTCCCTGTGTGTCTGTCTCTATGTCTCTTCTCTTCTTATAAGGACACTAGTCAGATTGGATTAAGGGCCACCTTAATAGAAAATGACCTCATCTGAACTTGATTACATCTGCCAAGAACTCATTTCCAAATAAGGTCACATTCACAGATACCAAGGGTTAAGAATTCAACAGACACTTTTAGAGGATGCAATTTAACCCATAACACCACATAACTGTCAAGATTAATTCTCAGAGAAAACACTTATTCAATCAATGAATATTTCTCATGTGTCTAAAATGGTCTAGTGTTGTTCTAACCACCTGGAGGTAGGGTGGTTAACAAGACAAACTCTTTACCAGTCAGTCAAAATATTTATTAAGCATCTATTTATCAGGCATGCGTCCAAGAGCTGAGAATATGGTAATGAACAGGATAAAGTTTCTGCTGTCAAGAAGTTTATCTTCAAGTGAGATGAGATAGACAATAAACACATGAACAAATGAGATGATTTCTGATACCCAAATGTGCCATGAAAAAATAGAGTAGGGAAATATGAGGAAGAGTGACTGGGGCAGGGTAGACAACTTTATCTAAAGAGCCAGGGAGGATCTCCCTGGAGGGTGACATTTGAGTTGAGACCGGAGTGATTAAAGGAGGCAGCCATGCGAAGATCTTGGAGGGGAGAATCTAAGCAGAAGGGCAACCATGGGCAAAGATCCTGACTGGGAATAAATGTAGAATGTTCAAGAAAGAGAATGAAAATCAATTTTTTATTCGAAAGTATATGAACTAAGGGAAAAATGAAAAGAAAAATTTAGGAGAAGTAAGTGGGTAAGATATTTGGCTTTTAACATTCTTTCCATTGGAAGTTACTTGAGGGGTTTATTAAAGACAATGGTTTGAATATAGGTTTTAGAAACATCTCTCTTGCTGCTTTCTGTAGACTATAGAACGATAAGGGCAGAATCAGGAAGACCACCTAGGTGGCTACTGGGTGAATTCAAACAAAAGAGGACGAGACCTTGAAGTAGAGTTGTAGTAGTAAAGTTGATGAGAAGGAGTTGGAACAGAGATATATTTTAGAAGCAGAAAGGATGGAACTTTCTTATGAATGGGATGTAGGGTTTGAATGAAAAAAGAAATCAAGCATGACACCTTTCCATTAAAAATCTTACAGTATAATGGGAGGCATCACAGAAATCAGCAACTTTTTCTTTTTTTGAGGAAGATTAGCCCTGAGCTAACATCCATGCCCATCTTCCTCTATTTTATATGTAGGATGCCTGCCGCTGCATGGCTTGATAAGAGGTGTGTAGGTACGTGCCTGGGATTCGAACTCCAGGCTGCTGAAGCGAAGCTTGTGAACTTAACCACTGTGCAACCAGGCTGGCCCCAGCAATCTTTATTTTTAAGTCTCTCTCTCTCTCTCTTTTTTTTCCTGAGAATGATTCATCCTGAGCTAACATCTGTTGCCAATCTTCCTCTCCCTCTTTTTTTTTTCCTCCCTAAAGCCCCAGTACATAGTTGTATATTCTGGTTGTAGGTCCTTCTAGCTCTTCTATGTGAGCCACTGCCATTGCATGGCTACTGAGAGATGAATGGTGTGGTTCCATGCCTAGGAACCAAACCTGGAATGGCAAAGCAGAGTGTACCGAACTTTAATCACTAGGCCATCAGGGCTGGCTCAAAAGTGCTAATTTTAATTTATTGTAATAAACGTTACAATAAGAATAGGCACAGACCGAATTCCCAAAACCATTTGGGAATACTTGAAGGGAAGCTAGAGTTCTCTCAAGATTGGTGCACATGTATCTTTCATAGCTGATATTTTGTCCTCTTCTCATTTCAGAAACTGGCATGCTTATGAGAAATAGGTTACACATACAGTTTTCTGCACAGAGAGAACCCACATCAAAATACTATATGTTTTGATGAGGACTCCTGTTTCATGTATCCTGAAATATAATGCGTATGTATTACAGTATTGGGGAGGCATTGGATGAGTGGAGGGAGGGTTGGAACCAGAACATGAGATTGACTCCAACCATCTTTCTCTGACTCTAGAGGAATAAGACTTGAGGCAACGACGTGCTGTTTTTGAAAGAAACACCATGTGAAAACATAATAGGCAGAGGCACAGTTCATTTAGGGCCAGTCTCTTGAGATACTGTGCATTAAAGAACCCTGGGTCTCAACTGTGCAAACAAAATATCTCTCAAAATGTCCCTTGGTGAGGACAAGAACTCAGAGTGGAACTTACATGACTTCATAAGTCCCTAAATCAAATTTCCTTAGCATCATCTGGATCACTATACAACAAAACCATCAGTAGTACAGGCTTTATCATTATAACTGCACTGTATTCATCATATTAAGGGAGAAACATGCTTAGTATTGCCAAATTGAGCACAAGACTTGCTGTAATAACTAAGCAGATTTTTTAAGCACACTGCCTTGTACTTACCTCATTATATCTTTCCAACATTAGAAGTCTAGTTTGACCTCGCCCCAGGGTATTAGCTTATCTTACAGCTCTTCTAGGCTTCTGACCACTCACATATGGGTTATTTCTCTTGAGGATCTTCCCTTTTACAATATCTTCCCCAGCATTAGACATCCCATTGATGTGCTGCTGGGGATCTATTTGTTTCACACCACCTGCATGGCAAGTTATTCCAATGTATATTTTGTTAGTTTCTGATTTAGGACAGGTTTCTGTGAAATATCTGTATGAAAAACAATTTAAGTCGTTTAAACAAGTCATGACCTCTTGGAAACTCTGCCTGAAATACAAATTTTTATCACCATTTGGGATAGAGAGCTAACTTCACTATTCGTCTGCCTAGTCATAGATTAGGAAGCAAGACATAAAATCAATGTTTTCATAATCAAGTGTGCTTTTCTATAAGCATAAAACTTCCAAATAACATATTCAGTATAGATATTGATTAGAGTAAGCTGTAAAGGAAAGGTATAGGAAAGAAGATAAAATGGAGCAAGATTTAGCTATTACAATTGAGTAGGTACAGATTAGTATATTTGCTCTCAACTATACATATATACATACACTCTCATATATGTATAAATATATAAAATCAAACTTCTGATATTATCTTCAAATGAATTTCTATATCCTGACTGCTATTCTTTACTTCATAAATCTTTCAGTGCTGTACTCAGGAGCTAGTGGTATTTGAAAGCTTAATGCATATCTACTTTGG